ATTCAAACAAGAAGCATGCTTAAGAGTCACTCACGGGACGTCTTTGATTACCAATATAAAAATACGATGGAAAGGACTATACTTAAGATGCGAAGAAGAAACTCTATATTTTACGCGCCCAACAATACTAAAAATCTTGGATAGTAAACGCTGCCCCAGAATGGGATCCTGCGGAGAAGAAAAATGCGCTAACTTCAATACTTCGACTCTTATAGAAGAACTAGCAGCCGCGAATAGTTTTCCAGGCAGGACAGGATGCATGGAATCTTGTGGGGGATGGGGATGCGACTGCTTTTACCTCAGCTCAGGATGTCTCTTCTATCGCATATACACAGTTCCAACGTCACCAAAAATTTATAAATTGTTTCGTTGCACTCGATGGACAGAAGAAATAAAAATAGAAATAATGACTGAAGATCTACACAACCCCGCAGGGAACAAACGATACGTCTTTGGACTCACTCCAAACATTCCGATAGAACTACCCTACACACGTTTCACAGCGACAACACTCACATTACCACCCATTCCACCGCTTGACTACGTATTCATAACCAACAACGAAGAAACAGCCATATGGAATGCTCGGACAACCCCAAATCTCGTTTGCAACTCTATAGAAAAAGCCAAGACAGGAAACTGCTCAACGGTAGACGACTGTCGTTGTTCTCCCGCGGAAAATAAAGTTAACTGCATATGCTCCACTATCGACCTAGAAGAAGAATTTAATAAGATCGAAAACAAACTCCCTCTAAAAACGGAAGCACTGGAATTGAAACGACGGACTCCCAATACATTAGTTGCAAAAATCCCTCAAATGGTAAGCGCTGACATTATATTGGAATTTCTACAGACAGTAGACACCACCAAACTCTTGACCCAGAACAACACCTGTTCAGTAACGGATGGGATACTACAAGGGTGCTACAGTTGTATGAAAGGGGCATGGGCAAAAATTTATTGCAAGGCCAACAAAAAGACCCTTGGGGAAATAATATGCGGTAAACACTCATTCGTGGTGACATGCGACCCAGAAGCTACCGAAACAACACTCCGGTTACACCTAGACTCAGCGCGACACCTTTTAAATTGCTCCGTAACATGTGGTACGCAGAAAAAATCCTTTACATTATCGGGAGTGCTAAAATATGTCAACAATTTTGAAACTCACCTATATACTTTAATCCGAAGCAAAAGTATACCTTACCAGGAGGTCGCATGGCCAGACTTTCAACACATCATCTCAGTGATTTTCTCTTGGTACAAAACAGTAATTCTTGGAATTATCGCAGTCGCCGTTTCTTTACTACTCTCGTACATACTCCTTCAAACTATGGGAATGAGAATACTAAAACTCATGTTTCGCTTAACATATAAGCTCACACTTTGCCCATTCAAAACTTTCTCATGGATACTTACCAGAAACACGAGAAACCAAGATAGAGAGGACATGATGCGAGACAATAATCACGAGAAACGCCATTAATTTATTTACTCGAAAATATATGTATATATACAAGTACTAATTTAGAGTCACAAGTAGTTGCAAACTCATTTAGTATAGATAACTTCTTTAGACAAAATGGAAGACTCCAAGGACTACGACAACCTTAAAGCGGAACTCGACTGCCTGAAGAACGCACTACCAGACCTACCAGACTCGAACACGTTATATGCTCACATAGTAGACTTACTCCTCAAGATTCACGCCATGAAGATATCCGTAACCAACTTGGGCGCACAAGTGGATCATTTTTGCAGAACAATGGAAGAAGAAAGTAACCGTCCTCTCCGTATAGAGCTGTTACAAACAGCGGCTTGGAAGACTCAATACCAACTTCTTTTATACGAAACGCGACTCGACGACTTGCTGATCTACCCAAAACTCATGATCGCGACAAAGAATTTGGATGAAAAAGTATGGACCGAAATGATGGCTCAGCCTCTTCTGGATATCGACGAAAAACCGGTCAACACGGATTTCTCGCAAGTGAGACGAGAGATTCAGACTCATCTTCAAACCATAGAAAAAATCTTCAGACAATTAGAACTGCTTGACGATGAAGTTGGAAGAAAGGAATATATAGAAACTAAAAAATTCGAAATAAAAGTGTTGAAGGAATTAACAGCCATACAGGAGAAGCTGGACCACATGCACATCCATGGCGGCCGAGGAAAAACGGTGAGGCCGGGGGGAGGCGTCTCAAGCGACCTTAGCCTCCACTATGGAATTGACTTCAATTACCCCTATTATTCAGACTCTGAACACTCTGACGAGAAGGAAGAAGCGACAGAGGAGAAGACTCTGGAAGAGGGGACTCACCGCAGCGCAGGAAAGGAAGGACCTAGGGATTTACCTAAACTAGTAGACCCCGACCAATCCATAGACTCGGATCGCTCCATCGGAAGCCGTGAACAAGAGTCGGCGAGGATTCAAGAAAATGTGGCATTTCTTGAGCCACTACTAGGAGAAGAAGTAAATATTGACTTCAAGGACCAGCAGGCGATGGAGGTCGAAGAATTGGTGGAGGTGGACGATGCCTTAGGGGAAGAAGAAGAAACAGACTCGGATGTAATGATTATTCCGCAAGAAGAAGTTAGACCCCGAGAAATAGAGGTGGTTCAGGAAGAACCAGTCAGACTCCGAAGGCAAGAAAACGAGGAAGAATTGATTCAAAGACTCAGGAGAGAATATAGACAAGCCATTCAGGCCCGAGAAGACCTGAGGATGATGATGCGAGAACTGGAGACTCCACCACGCTGTCCGACGAGGAACTTCAACCCTGGGATGAAGCACGAAAATGAAGCAGAGATGCCGTGTGTCTTCTGTGGAATGAGAGGACACCATTATTCAGACTCCTGCATCGAATTTATAACCGTAGAATCTAGACTCGAAAGACTAGCAGAGGTGGGAAGATGCCGCGTCTGCTTAGACACTTGGTGTGATGAAAGTAGGGAAAAGTGTCGTAAGTTCAATGCTCGATGTCATTATTGTGGTGGATATGGACACAATGCATGTATTTGTGAACTTCCAGAAATTAAACGCAAACTCCAGGAAAAGTTCGAATGGCTCAACAGGGACTACGCAAACGTAAACGACAGAATCGCTCGATTGGCAGGACGACTGCAGAGGCATGGCGCGCTCTGATCATTCGTGGTGAAAAGTCTGTCTCTATGTCTTTGTGTCTCTCTCTCCGTGTGTAGCTATCATTCTTACTCTCCACCTCCTCCCACTCTCCCGCTCGTGGGCGGGGAGTATCGCGGAAAACCGCGATTTTTTAGGACTCTTTGATCCGATCAATAAATTGTTTAAGCTAAGGCTCGGCCATGTATGTGAGGGATGCTGGCTCGCGCCTTATCTCATGCTTCATCAAGAAAAGCGCGAGCCAGCGTCTTCGGTATAAAACGGTAGGATGACTCATTGTCGATCTTTTACTTCTTCATAACGCGATTCTTGTAGGACTCTCAATCTACTTGTTATGATTCTTCTCAACTCATACTCACTTAACACTGTTGTCTTAGCTCTTAGTACTGCTTGCTTTGTGCCTTTATATTGGTGCCTTTATATTGTTGTCTGATTGGTTTAATTACCCAAGTTTGAGGCTCTTTTGGTCGGTGGATAAAACCGTTAGACTATTCGTGGTGTGGTGTTCTTTCCGCGTGGCGTAAACGAGCTATATCTCAAACTACAACTTTCCTTTTCATGGTGCATCGGTTACTCGACGAAGGACCGAGGTACGAATTTAAGGAAACTCATTGAATTTTTCAATTGTCGCTATAAATAGGAACCTCAGACGACTCGCGACGTTTTCTTTTTTCTTACTTCAACTGGTCGCGATATTTGGATCGTAACTCAAGAAAGCGACACTTTGGATTCAGACTTTGTCTCCTTTTTCACTTTTTACTACTGTTACTCAAAGAATACTAAAATATTGGATTATTAATTTGCCATGTCCGGTCCTATAACTTTGAAAACGCAGAAGGGACTGTTAACTCGTTACAGTAATAATTTGAGACGCGTATTGGATAGTGCTGAGGCAACGG